CGGGTGGCACGGCGCCGCGCCAGCTGCCCGCCGCCCGCTCGCTGAGTCGCGTGGGGCTGGGGACCGGCAGAGCCTTGGCGCTTGCAACCTTCCCCCCTCCTCGCGGCGCCCTTTGGCCTTCTGGGGGCTCCGCTACTGCCGGGGGAACGAGGAAACTGGGGGCCCAGACAAAGCCCACTTTGTGCGGGGAGTTGGCTGCGGGCGTGGAATGTGTGCGTCGGCGCGCGCCGGCTCCCCGGGCCCCGCTAGCTGCGAGTCTCGGCTCCCGGACTGGTCTCGTCGAGTCGGATAAATCGTCCTCCAGAGCCATCCTCCCACTGTGGGGTCTGGCCTTGGAGCTCACACTGCCCCGAGTCTCCTCTGTCTCTCCCTTCTCCCTCCCCTCCCCGCTTTCCCCGCCTCCCCCCCCCAACCTCCCGGGGGCGCACGCAGGTGTGAGCTTGCGAGGGTTTTGTAGAGGAATTTGTTCTTTTTAGAACTGGGACCTGGGGACCCCAGTTCCCCGGGCACGCGTGCCTTGATCCTTTTTGTCTGCGGCCGCAGTTCTGAGCTCTGTGGCCTCAGTTTCCCTCCCCGACTTGTTTCCTCTCCAGCTCAGCCGTGCGCGTCATTGTTCTCGCTGTCAAATGGGGGTGCTTTGTGAAGGCTGCCAAGTTAGGGTGTGTTCTCTCTATCCCATTTTTCAAACAAAACGCCTCTAAGGCTGACCCCGGGTAACCCACCCCCTAACCCTCTCTTCAAGTTGTTGCACTGATTTTTTTTTAATCGAGTAGTAGTTTATTGTATAGGAGCCACGCCCTGGTTTCTTAAAGGCGCCTTGCACTCTGTTTGGCCATGTGTTGTCTCTGCAGCTCGAGTGTGGGAGGCCTCCTGTGAGCCCCTAATTTTTTCCCGCCTCTTGATTCCATCCACCCCCATCAAGAATTTAGGGATGCCAGGTGGAAAAAAAGTGGTCGGGGGTGGCAGCAGCAGTGCTTCCCCAACTGCCAATGCCCCACCAGCCTCTGGGGTCAGGCGTTTGGAAACCAGCGAAGGGGCCTCAGCCCAGAGAGATGAGGAACCCGAGGAAGAAGGGGAAGAGGACCTGCGAGATGGAGGCGTCCCCTTCTTTGTCAACCGGGGCGGACTGCCTGTGGATGAAGCCACCTGGGAAAGGATGTGGAAGCACGTGGCTAAGATCCACCCCGATGGAGAGAAGGTGGCGCAGCGGATCCGTGGGGCCACGGATTTGCCCAAGGTGAGGCACTGGGGGTGGAGGGAGCGATGGGGGAGGAGGGGGAGGAGGGGAAGGGGAGACAGGATAATCTCTGTCCTTAGTGATCTTGGGGCCAAGGGAGCAAAACCATACTCCTCAGAAAGGGTAGGGACCACTGGCATGGTAAGATGTTAAAAATACGTACAGTTCATGCCTGGCAAGAGAACTTTCTCTCCACCACCATGCAGTCGTTCAGTAAGGGAGGTTCACGTGCCCTGTCTACAGGAGGCCCTCCCCTATCTCTAAAATGCCCAGTTTCGGGGCCTGGGGGAGGGTGGATGAACTAACATACACACTAATGCGCCCTGACATTGCATTTGCCTGGTGACATGCTTGCTAAGCCGGAGAACTGTGAGCAGAGAGATAATGAATGACTAAGGAGACAGAGGGCTTTGTATGCTAAGAAAATACATGCACTAACTCACTGAATTCTCCCAACAACCTTGGGAAGTAAACGCAGGTGGGGTCCCCCTTTTACACATGAGAAGGTTGGTGAATATTAGGTTGTTGCAAAAGTGTGACGTGTTTTTGCGTAGAAAAATACATCATGACTTTCCCAACTACCCTATAGGTAGGAACTCAAAGTCCCACAGTCATTAAATGACAGGGCTGGGACTTAACCCCAGGTCTTTAGGCCCCAGATCTTCTGATCTGTTGGACACTAGATTCAGGGCATTGGGAGAGGTCCTTTGGAGAGGGGTAGGTTAGTAGTTTTCTGTGTCAGCTGGAACTCCTCCACGGTGACTGTCCTTCAGCTGTGCTGCCCACGAAGGCAGAGGCTGCATCTCATTCATCTTTGTCTTTCCAAGGCCTCCTGTGTGCCTGGCACCGAACAGGCGCTTATGTGTGCTTGCTGAATGAAGGGGTATTTGAGGCTTTCTGTGCTGTACGGTCTTGTGAAATACATCATGCTTTAAAAAAAAAAAACCAAAAACATAATGCTTAAGACTAAGGAAGCACTCCCAAATGCATGGACCTGAAATCCCCGAAACAGGCTTTTGGACAAAGGTTAGAGTCCAGTGCCTGCTTTAGTGGGAAGGGAAGGAGCCGTGAGTGTGGTCTAGACTGTGGGTACAGACCGTCTGTTTAGTTTTGTTTTTATCAGATGATTGGTCAAGCCATTAGAAAATATCTTCTGGGGAAACAGAATCAGAGGTGGGAACTTAAACAACTAACTGCCTCGTAATTCCAGGGGAACGTCCCTTGATTTTGAATGACTACATAATTGCCTTCCATATTGGCTTACGCTGTATTTAGCTAATGTTCTTTGTTTCCAATACCTTATTCTTCAAATGAGCACTGTGGTGGGCATTCTAACACATACATATTGGGATTTGTCTCGGATTATTTCTTTGGGATAAATTCCTGATAAAGGAACTATGGCATGGAAGGATGTGGACATTCGGTAGGGATCACCTCCCTGTCTATTTGACCTCAGGCAAGCTCCTATGACCTATTCGGCCCGTTTTCTCATCTGTGAAATGGGGTCGACTTGGGGGACGATTAAATGAGACACTATGTGTCAAAGCATTTGGTAAACCAGAGAGCCCCAAACCGATCCTGGTTGTTGGACGTTCATTGCCCTTAATTGAGGAGGGAAGACTAGCTTTCACTCAGAGCATTTCTGCCGGTGAGGCCAGAGTCGCAGGTTTCGCCCACATGAGCAAGTTGGTGTTGAGAAGACGCTCTCCAGCCACGACACTTGCACCTAAAGCAGGCAGGAGTGTGAGTGATTGCCTGCAGTACTGTCACCACTCCTGGGGACTTAAAAAAAAAAAAAAAACAGCTCCTTAAGGACTGGTCTGCAGTGTCATCTTGTCATCTTCAGTTCTCATGTATGGAAAGACATTGGTGAAGGAATGAAGCTATTATCTGGATGGGGTGGGGTGGGTCATGACTAACAAGAGTATGGTAAGGAATTTTGGGAGGGGTTTGGGAAAATGGGAAGCCCCCTCCACCAACCATGGGGAAAGTGTCTCAGAGAAACCATGTGAGTCTGTGTGGGGTTCCTCCTCTACCTTGGCCCAGACTAGAAAGGAGCCCTTAGCACCTGGGAGGTGTGCAGGCAGCTGGGAGGCCTGGAGGAAAGCCGCAGGGTTGGGTACCAGCGTGCCAGCAGCAGGTGGGCTGACCACCAGGCTCACCCCCCCCCAAGTGGCCATGCTGTGGGGACTGCCACAGAGATGTCCTCTGCAGAGGCCACACTGGTGGGCCCAAGATTTTTGTGGGGGCTGCACAATATTTTAAAAAGTCACTGGAGCCAAATTTTAAAATTGGAAGGTTGCCCAAGATCCAGATTGTTGGCATCTTCTGAGAAAATGAGACGATATGGGAGGAGATTCTGAAATCCCATAAGGCGACCATCAGCTAGGGCAGAGCAATGGTCGCCCGCCTCCATTTGCCATCGTCCCCACCACTCCCTTCCCCCATTTATTCCACCTGCCCAGCTCCTACAGGTGGTTGAGTCTGGGACCCCTGCAGGGTAGCGTGATGGAAGGAGAGCCCTCTAGGCAAACCCACCTCGTTCACATCCTTGCTCCCCCATAACTGCTTCTGTGCACGGGGACCACAGCAATGTCCACTCTGAGGGATGCTGAGAGGAGGCCATACCAAGCATGCAAGGCTTCATTAGGTGAGTGTCTAATAGGTGCCCAGTAAACAGAGCAAGGAGTGAGTGCGCAGAACAAACCGTTCCCCAGAGTTCTGGAGAACATCTTGACCAGCATGATGGCGGTATGATGAAGGGCAGCTGTTTCCAGCAGGATCCCACATCCTCCCGCAGTTTGTGTTCTTCCGTGTCTCAAGCTGCCACCACTTCTTTTTTCATATGAGGTTTTTTCCCCCAAAGAATTATTTTATTTAACTTTATTTATTTACTTATTTTTTTTTATTACACCAGAGAGGGGCAGAGCGAGCGCGTGAGAGAGAGAGAGAAAGTGAGAAAGCAAGCCGCCAGGTCCGGGACTCGAACTGCAGTCAGCCATGTGGAAGTCCAGTGCCCTTAACCACCATGCCACCTGCAAGCCCCATGCCACCACTTTTAAAAGCAGTGGTCACTTGCCTCAGACCTGGCTGTAGAAGGTCTTCTAATGGTGGCCTGGCACTGAGCGCCTGCAGAATGAGGACTGGGACATCTCCACAAAGATGGCACCTGCAGGCTCAGAGGTGCTCACTGAGGTCTCTGGCACACAGCGGCTGCACTGGTGTGGAGCCCCTGCTGCGTGCCAGCCCTGCTCCTAGGCCTCCCCATGCAGCATCTCATCTCCAGGGTGAGGTTGGTTCTGCTTTGGTGCCGTTGACAGATGCGGCTTCTGAGGCACAGAGAAGTTACGGAGAGTCAGTCAAGTCACCAGACTAAATGTCAGAGCGGGGACAGATGGCGGTAGCCTGTTCCAGGGCCGGCTCTGTTCATCTCCAGGCTGCACTGCGGGCCTCCCCACCAACAAGCCTCCTTGCTGTGCTAGGTGACATGGACTCCAACAGTGAAGACGTCTTCGTAGAACTGAGAGATCTGGGTAGCTCCTATCCCTCACCGGCACTGTGCCCCACTTAGCCCCACCCCTCAGCAATGTGGTATGGGGGTTGGGGGCAGACCCAGGCAGTGAGCCCAAAAGTAGGCCTGGTCATCTGGATATAGAGTGGTTCTCATCTGTGAGTGAGTGAGCCTCTGCCTGTAACATTCAGGAAAAAAGAGTATAGGTACTGGCTGCTGTGAGGTCATGTGTCAAGGATACAGCTCCTGCAGCTTAGCCCCCGAGTGGTGGCCTTTGAGCCCCTGCTTATGGGTCCCGGGTCTTTGTGGGCTTTCCTTACTGCAGCGAGTTTCTGGGTCCTTTGTCTGGATAGTAAGTCTGATACTGCTCTTGGTGTCATGGCCCTGGGCCAGGCCTGGCTGTGGGCAAGCTTTGGGGGTGGTTCCTGGCCTGCAGCTCCCTCTCTGTTTGGAGCTCCTTTATCTGAAGCCCCTCGACATCACTGGATCCCCACTTAGCAAGTGGGGATGACCCATCTGCTCCAGCTGCCTTCTCGCAGGGACTACCACTTGAGGGGTGACTGGATAGGTGTGCAAAACTGTCAAGGGGAATTGCTAAGTGACTCCTCTCACTCCTCTCCCACCCCCCACCCTCTTGTCTTTGATCCGAGGAGGCCAGACCAGGTCCTCCGAGAGTTCTGGAGCTCATTTGCACAGGGTGGTCAGACAAGTGGAGGGGCAGCCTGCCTCCCTGGGCTTTTATCCCCCAGGTGACTAAGGGGTGGTGCCAGTTTGGGGATAGGGAGAGATTCTAAAAGAGAAATAGCTGCCTCTGGCCAGAGGCGTCATCTGCTGGGAGCCAGTGCGGTCTCTAGGGACTGTCCAGATAGGAAGGAGGGGACCGGTAGCGAGGGCAGACAGAAGAGGAAGTCCATGCAGAGCTGTGCCTCTGGATGGGGCCTTCTCTGTGTCTCCACCATTTGGAGTGAGTGTCTGTCAGAGGCTCTCCGTGTCCCCTGCCATCAGCAGCACCCAGGCCCAAGTGTGCACTGATAATGAGTTTGTCACTTCCTCATCGGAGTCCCAGCCCCGCTCCACTTGACTGAAAAGGCTGTGCTCCGTGGACTCTGCCTATGTCCGTGACAGCCTCCCAAGAAGAGCATGGCCCTTCCTGCCCATGCACCCACCCTGGCGGGAAAGGGAGATTTGAAAGAGAACCCAGGGGCCCTGGAGCCTCTGTGAAACCCCTGCAGAGTGGCTAGGCCCCGGAAATGGAGTCACAGCTAGATCTGCTCCAAATAGGACCTGACCATTCAGGTTGGTGCTCTAGAAGGCCCAGTACATGTGCCACATCACTGGGGCAGGTGGCACCCTCTACTGAGGGTACCTTCACCCTCCTGGACCACTCCCTCAGCCCAGAGTCCCACCCTGAGAAGACAGGGCACTGGGTAAACCAGAGCAAACCCCAAACCCAAAAGAACTGAACCCCAGTATTGGCACTCTTGTTAAGTCTTGAAGTTAATGAATATTTAAATTCAAAGCAGTGCATCAGCCTGTGTTTTTTCCTAAAGTCCTTAAAGCAGGGCCCAGCTGATGACATAGTAGTTAAGGTGCTGGATTCCCACGTGGCCAACCATTGTTTGAGACCCAGGCATGGCAGATTAAAAATTATGCCAGCACGTGGGTGTAAATGCCCAAAATCCTGACAGAAGAATGGAGGAGATGGGATTGCAGAGTAGCCATCCCCCCAGAAAGTGATTTCTCACTTTCCCTCTCTGTCTCTGTCTCTCTCCTGCAAGCCCACACACCCTATACCAAAAAAAATCTTTTAAAAAATCATTAAAGCAGCATAAAAATGGAATATCAACATATGCTTCCATTTACGCATGCCTTCAGATGCCAGGAGGGAAGGACTGGTGAGGCTGGAGCCCTGTCCAGAGTCTCTGAAAGAAGGAGTTACCTAAGAAAGAGGCTCAGGGTAGGAGAGAAGGGAGATTGTCCCTCCCCAGGGTATGGCTCCTCTGGGGGTGACCCTGGCTGTCTGGTGGCCTGCAAGCTCCAGGTGAGCCTCCTCTTGTGACCAGGGCACTCTCTCTGTCCCCAGATTCCCATACCAAGTGTGCCTACGTTCCAGCCGTCCACACCCGTCCCGGAGCGCCTGGAAGCCGTGCAGCGCTACATCAGGGAGCTGCAGTATCCTCTGGTCTGTGGTGATGGCCGTTGCTGGCTGAGCGGGGCCTGTTTCAGACAGGGCGGGAGAGGTCTCAGCAGAATCACCTCATCCCACCACTCCGGGGAGGGGCCATTCACTTGGGCCTGGGTATCTGAGGGATCTTGTCCAAGGAGTGCTGGGCCCACCTGCTTCCCCCTCCTGCCGTCCATTGGAGTCAAAAGAGGGAGCTGCCTCTGAGCGGCTTGCAGAGGAGTAGCCCTGACTAGACCTCCTCTCTCCATCCGGCCCTAACAGAGGGACAGCAGGGAAGCTCCCTTAGGTCATTGAAAAACTTGTCTTAAAAGTCAGTGTGTGTGGGGACCAGCAGTTAACGTAATGGCTATGTCGCGGGACTCCCATGTAGTCAACCACGGTTCGAGTCCCGGACCCGGTGGCTTAAACTCACGCCAGGCGCGTGTGCGTGCGTGCCCAAGATCCCGTTGAGAGGAGAATGGAGGAGAAGGGATTGCGGCGTGGCCGTCACCCCTGGGGGGTGATTTCTCGCTTTCTGTCTCTCTGTCTCTGTCTGTCTGGCGAGCACACGCGCCCTATAGCGAAAACCTCTCCAAAAAAAAAAAAAAGAAGAAAAGAAAAAATAAATAAAAGTCAATGTGTGTGCAATGAGAGAAGGTAAGTTCTGCTCCAGGAGGTAATGTCCACATCCTGGAATTTTCTCCTGGTTCTTCGCCTTTTTCTTTTCTGGCAGGAGCCCAGTCACCTTGCGTAGGAAGAGCTAGGCTCCCCCCCAAGTCCACATTCCTCTGTGTCCCTGCTCTAAGCCCCTCTAACCCCTGTACCCTGCCCTAGAACTGCATGTCCTGGGTCCTCTCCCCCAGCCCTCCTGGCTATAAGCAAGGTCAGAGGTGGGAGAAATAGGCAGGAGTCCTGAGTAGGGGAAAGGCCAAGTGGGTGACAGAAATGGTGTCCAGCCCTTGCCTTTGCCTCTAGAGGAATTGTGGCCCTGCCAGGGACGGTGACTGGCTCAGGACAGCCCAGCAGTTAGAGACCCTGCTGGACCCACCCCGCCCCCCTCCTTCTCTGTTCATGTACTTCTCAGCTGGTTGGAAAATGAAGTGCTGCTGCAAGCTGTCCCCCACGGCAGTCTCTCTCCTAGCCTGGGCCAGTCTGGCTGCCTGCACATACCGCCAGGAGGATAGGGCAAGGATGAGAGAGGAGAGGGCCACGTGCTATCCCCTCATCCTCCATGGTCCCTCGTGGGAGGTGCTGGTTCAGACCTGACCCAGGGTCTGGGACACAGGCGGGGGCCAGGGATGACTTCTTCCAGACCAAGTCAGGAAGCCCTTAACCTGCGCCCACAGGTACAATCACACAGGGACACAATTCTTTGAAATTAAGAAGAGCAGACCTCTGACAGGGTAAGTATGGGGAGGCCCCATCCCTCTGCCCCTGGGTTGGGTTGGAGCCTCTTGGGAACCCCTGTGGTGTCCTTGTAGAGGAAGCTTATGTTATGGGTGGGCAAGGAAGGACTTTCTAAGGGAAGCCAGCCATTAGGGACAGGTGCCACCTGGGACCTAAGGATGTCATAGCGGGAACTGAGCTGAGATGAACAGCCAGGGCCAGCTTGATGTAAAGGAACTCTGACAGCCATGCTGAGCCCTCACCCCTACCAGGCTCCAGATGTGGGGGGAGGGGAGGAAGGCTTGGCTTGAACCTAGGGGTCCTCTTCTCTAGCATTTCTGGTTCACCCATCCGCTCCTCTTGACACTCCCCACTGAAAGGAGCTGGAGGCACTGTCCTCACCGACCCCAGCTTGCTCGGTGGTGACAGAGAGTCCCACTCAGAGTGTAGATAGCCTTTTCTTTTTTTAAATGCACGGTGGGCTTAGCAGGAGAGAGCCCTTCTCCTCCCCTTTCTCCCTGTCCCCTCAGCTGCCTGCGTACCCGGCATTGCAGGTCACCTGCACAATCACCCCATTGGCTTTGCTGGGCTCTCTGCTGGTCACCTACTGAAAGGTGCAGGGACCCCACAGGAGAGAACACAGCATCTCCCCGTTCTGGTGCCACCGCCCAGCATGCACATGGCTGGCTGGATCTGCTTGCTCTAGGAAGTTTCAGGCAATGAAGCCCTGAGGGCAGAGGATGGGGAAGAGTGAAAACCACAGCCAGGTTTGGGGGCTCAGGCAGAAGATGTCTGTAGGCTTAGAACCCCCTGGTTTAAAAAGTCAACATGGAGGCCAGCAAGTGGTGTCGTGGTTATGGCACTGGTTAAACGTCCTAGCATGCACCGACTCATTCGGTGAGGGAGAGGAGAGGCAGGTGTTTATGCCCAGGACTTTATTCTAATTAATCACGGCCTGACCCCCACTTGTTTAAAAATTATTTATTTATTTATTTATTTAGGCAAATAAAGACCACTCACATGTAGTTAACTGACCACAGCTCGAGTCCTGGACCCAGCAGCTTGAAACTCACACTGTACAAGTGTGCATGCGTGCCCAAAATCACCAGAAGATAATGAAGGAGAAGGGATTGAGGCATGGCCATTTCTCCCTGGGGGGTGATTTCTTGCTTTCTGTCTCTATCTTTTTGGCAAGCACACATCCCCTATAGAAAAAGATCTAAAAAAAAAAAAAAAAAAAGTCTGTGTGAATTCTCCATCTTACTCCAACAAAGAACTATGTTGCTGTCTTGTGAAAAATGCTTTAAATGGTTTATTAGCAAATTTACTTCATTACCCCTCCAAGTCTCTGAGTGCAATCCAGCCTGCCCTACCCCAAACTTTGCTCTTGTCGTTCTGTGGCTTTTGTGTCTGGGAGCTCCCTTTCCTTCTCCTTTGGGATGGAGGAGTTGGGGCCCTCTTGGGCAAGATCGGCAGCAGACCGAGCCCTGGGGCCCAGGTAGCATGCAGGGAAGAGGCAGGGACCAGGCCCAGGATATAGGCTCTTACAACACCTGACTTCCAAGTCCAGGAGCAGCCGGTCAGTCTCCAGGCCCTCTGCCTCAGGACCCCCACTCAGGCCTGGCAGCTATGGGGGCTGGGGGAGCAGTTCCGATCAACTAACAAGCTCTTCTGAGAAGAAGCCCTGGTTAGCTGAGAGATGTCCACGGTGATCCAGAAAAAAAAGAGATCCCTGCCAAGGTCCTTGCCTTCCACCACTGCCATCGCAGAAGGCCCCAACCCAGAGGCTGTTCTCATTCATGCTCCCATCCCCTCGATGTCTTTTTTTGTTTTGGAGAGCTTTTTGCTATAGGGCATGTGCGCTCACCAGAAAGACAGAGAGAGACAGAGAGACAGAAAGCAAGAAATCACCCTGGTGGGGGGATTACCACACAACAATCCCCTCTCCTCCATTCTCCACTCAGGATCCTGGGCACACACACACACGTGCGCCTGGTGTGAGTTTAAGCCACCGGGTCTGGGACTTGAACTGCGGTCGACTACATGAGAGTTCAGCAACATAGCCATTACACTAATTGCTGGTCTCCCCCTTCAGGTCTTTGGAGCCAGGTGTGGAAGGAGGAAGGGAGAGGGGGAAGGGAAGGGAGAGCTGGGTCCTTCCTCACCAGCAGTGACTGCTTCTTCCCTTCACCAGGCTCCAGGTGGGGGAGGAGAGAAGGGTTTGGGGCCTGAGCCAAAGGCAGCAGCTGGGGGGCTGTGTTAGCATTTCTGGTCTACCCTGTCCCCTCCTCTGAAGCTCCCTGCCCAAGGGAATAGAGGTGCTGTCCTCACAGCTCTGCCCCCTTCCCATAGGCTGATGGACCTGGCCAAGGAAATGACCAAAGAGGCTCTGCCAATCAAATGCCTGGAAGCCGTGATCCTGGGAATGTATCCTTCCTCAGCCCTGGGAGGCCTGGGAGGAGGCAGGGCCCACTGCTCCGCCCCTCCGGGCCTCAGTTTCCTGCCCTGGGGGGGCAGATCTGAGTGAGGACCAGGCCCTTCAAGCTTCCCCCCTACACAGTCAACCCCTTGACTCCAATAAGGAGGATGCTCCCCAAGGGGAAGGTGCCCGGGAGGCCCAGTATTCTGCACCCCAGTTGCCACTTTCCCGTGCTTGGTAGTCAACTCACTTTTGAGTCATGTGGACACAGTGACCCTGTTCTTCAAACTCCGAATCAGGTCGCATTGTCTCACAAGGGCTGTTGTGCCGTTTCCAAGAACCAAACAACCCAGGAGAAGCAACTGGGATGCCCAAATGTTGGCATTTCTGGGACATGTTGATTTGTGGAGTTGATGGATAGGATGTGTGAACAGAATTGGCTCAAAAACCCATGAATGGCTTGTAGCGGGGTCTCTAGGGTAACCAAGGGGACAGACAAGCTCCCGGGAAAGGCTGCCCTTCCCCAATGCCCCAGTCGGGACAGGCAGAGGAGAGGCCAGTAGTTACACCCAGGTCTTTATCCTAGTTAGTCAGTGCCTGAGCCTTGTTTTTCTTAAAAATAATTTTTATTTATTTTGACAAAGAAAGGATATTACCTTTTTTTCATTAAAAAAAAAATTCAAGCTTAGAACAACATAACGAACCCGTGTGCCCATTACTGAGCTTCACCTGCTCAAGGCCAGTCTTGCTACATCTCTTCCCACCCCTCCCGTTTCCTCCCAGCGTTTAAGCATTTGCCGGTCACCTGTGGGGCAGGCAGCACAGCTGTGCGGTCCTGCAGGGGTGCACAGATTAGGCAAGGGCCACTAATGGAGACGAGACCGTCCCCTCCCTGGGGCAGCTCTCAGAGAAGATGGCCGAAGGCAGGCAGCACAGGCCACAGGCCTCCTCCCCACATGGACACTTCCGCTGGAAGTTTACACAGGGAGGTTTTCAGGGCTCACCTGGCAGGAAGAGGACAGGTGCTCCATCTGGTGAGCGGCCCTTTCTGGGGCCCCCAAGCTCCTTCGGTCACTGTGGTAACATGGGCTGAGTTTGTTCCTGTTTCTCGTCTTCACTGCACTCTGTGCCTTTCTCATCTCTGTACCCCTGATCCCTCACAAGGCATCGGGCGCGGTAAACACTGGAGGAGTGAGTTTAGCGTTGGTGAGGACATGGGTGTAGCATCTGGGAGCACAGACTTTGGGGTCAGGCTGACCCAGACTTCAATCCCGGCTCTGCCTTTGTTCCTTGACCTCACTGAGCCTTGGCATCCTCTGCAGAAGGGGGTAATGGCAGTGCCTGTCACACAGAGCTGTTAGGACAACTGAGTGAGTCAGCGCATGCCAGGACATTGAGCACAGCGTGTGTAACCGGTATCTGCTCCATGCTCTTTCCTGTTCATCGCCTACCTGTGTTTTTCAAGGAGAGTTTTACCGAGAGACTGCTATGTGCCTAGCTCTCTGCTGGGTCCCAGAGAAACAGCAAAGAACACAGCAGATGAGGTTCTTGTCCTCTGAAAGCTTGCACGCTAGCGAGAGAGAGAAGATAAGTAGCCAAAGAAATAAGTGAAGTGCAGATTGTGGCGAGTGCCCTGGGGAAGTAGACGGTGGGTGGACTTGCTTTAGAAAGGGAGTTAGCGAGGGGCCAGCAGATGGCATGGTGGTTATGTCACTGGACTCCCACATGGTCTACCACGGTTCAAGTCCCAGACCTGGTGGCTTGAAACTCATGCCTGGCACGTGTGTGTGGTGCATGCAAACCTAAGATCCTGGGAGAATGGAGGAGAGGGAATTGCAGCGTGGCCATCCTCTCTGGGAGGTGATTTCTCACTTTACCTCTCACTGTCTGCCTCTCTCCCCAGCAAGTGTGGGTGCCCCAAGGCAAAAACCTCTAAAAAAGAAAGAGTCAGGGAAGACAGCCACAGAAGGCCTGAGAAGGAGCCAGCCAAGGGCAGGTGGGAAGGGGGCTCTGGTCAGAGGGAGGAGCTGGCCAGAAATACCCAGGGCTGAGACCCAGGAAGCAGGAGCGAGTGCAGGGAGAGCAGAGGGCTCCGAGAGGCTGGAGGGCAGCAGGGCCAGGCCACTGGCCTCCAGGCCCTGGGAAGGCGCTTGCCTGTATCTGAAGGTGACAGGCAGTGGATGTGTGCCCCAGGCTCCGAAAACCCAGCGGTTTGGAGTCAGGCACCGTCGTTGCCTCCTACTGTTTTGGAGCCCCGTTCCCATCTGGTTCTTGAGCACCTACCGTGCGCCAGAGGACAGGAATACCACGCAGAGGTGAGCGGGATTTGGAGATGACTCGCACTGGGTCTCAGTGCACTCGGACCGGGGCCCTGCGGCGGGCACAGGCAGCCACTCGGGGGCGGGCACCCGCGCGCCCCGGCCTCTCCAGGCTCTTTCCTTAGCTGGGGTTACCGGCCAGTTACCTCACCAACAGCATGCCCACCCTGGAACGCTTCCCCATCAGCTTCAAGACCTACTTCTCAGGGAACTACTTCCGCCACATCGTGCTGGGGGTGAACTTCGGGGGCCGCTACGGCGCCCTGGGCATGAGCCGGCGCGAGGACCTGATGTACAAGCCGCCGGCCTTCCGCACGCTCAGCGACCTCGTGCTGGACTACGAGGCCGCCTACGGCCGCTGCTGGCACGTGCTGAAGAAGGTCAAGCTCGGCCAGTGCGTGTCCCACGACCCGCACAGTGTGGAGCAGATCGAGTGGAAGCACTCCGTCCTGGACGTGGAGAGGCTGGGCCGCGACGACCTCCGCAAGGAGCTGGAGCGCCACGCCCGCGACATGCGGCTCAAGGTCAGCCTGAACCTGCACCTGCACCTGCGCGGTTACTCTTCCTCTGACCCTCCCGACCCACCTCCCCCAAGTCTAGGCGCTTGGGCTGGGGAAGAGGAGAGTGAGTCCTTCCGCGCCTTCCCAGTCCTGCCGCAGGTGGTGTGAGGACCAAGGGAGGCGAAGGGTGGACCGGCTGCTCAGTGCTAGGCTGTGCTCTGTGGTTGAGATGGTACCCCTAAAAAGGAAGGGTGTGAGCTGGGTTTGGAGGGTGGCAGGCGGAGGGAACGTGGGGAAGGTTGGGGGTGCGGGTCTCCAGAGTCAAGATCCCTTGGTACTAAAGCATGGCCTGTCTGGAAGAAATGGTAGCTGGGGGAGA